CGGAGAACCACAGTTAGTGAAACAATCTGCGACAAAAGTGGACAAGCTATTCACAATAGGGAACAACGGCTTGACCGGTGGGCGGAGTACTTCAGAGAACGGTTCAGCTGGCCAGGTGCTAACCAGACTGTATCGTCTGTTGTAGTTGCGGCTCCATGGGAAGTGTCATGTGAACCTCCTACTGCAGCAAAAGTTCGATCATGCATCCATGCCCTTAAGAAAGGAAAAGCAGCAGGACCGGACGGGCTTCTCCCCACTCTTTTCAAGTTGGAAGGCGATGACCTCGTAGACTCCATCAGTGATCTAATGCGTAACATCTGATTACATGAGCGCATTCCATCATCCTGTAGCGAATCACTGATTGTTCCAATTGTTAAGAATGGATCTCGCAACGACTGCGCAAACCACCGTGGAATAAGCTTGATCCCAATCGTCACCAAGTTACTAGCCTCCATCATACTTCGACGTCTGACACCGTTTAGGGAGACAAATATCCGCGAACAACAAGCGGGATTTCGATCAGGCCGCGGGTGTGTCGATTAAATCTTCACCTTGCGTCAAGTCCTCGAGCTACGCCATACGCACCGTCGGCCAACGGTTGTTCCTTGGTATAAAAGGAGCCTTCGACTCAGTTGACTTCGAATCCCTTATGGGTTCGCTTCTTCGCAAAGGAATGCCGCAGAGGTAAGTGAACATACTGAGTTCATTCTACTCACGTATTTCTGGTAGCGTAAGAATCTACGGCGAGCTGAGTAGGTCGTTCGTAACTAGTAGCGGTATTCGTCAAGGGTGCCCTCTTTCGCCATTCCTGTTCAATTTCGTCATAGACGAAGTACTGGGGAACGCACCTACTGGTCTCCAGAACGTAGGTATTAAATGGGCGGCTGGAGAAAAGCTGTGCGATTTGGAGTACGCTGACGACATCGTATGCCTGTTCGAATCTATGGAGGATGCGCAATGCGCTCTTGACAGACTAGCAAGTTCTGTATCTCCTTTCGGCATGCGCTTTGCACCTTCAA